AAATATAGTAGCTTCAAAAATTTCGGGCTTTTAGATACTAAAGTAAAAAAATTAGTACTCCTGCAACGTTAAAAAACTAAAAAAATTCATTTCAAACTACAGGAGAACAGATTGAAGGATTATTAAGCCTAGTAAAATCAAAAGGCCCACAGACTTCAACTCACGATCATAAAACACTTTCCTCAAGAGGAATTTGCTGGAACAGTAAATATACACTGTGAATCAAAATCATGAAGACAATACTATAACACAGCTATAAAAGAGAAGAACTAATCAAGTTACTGAAACAAAACAATTATCTTTCGCCTAACCCTTCAAACTGCTTTAATGAACACAGTTGCTTTCATTTTGCTTTCCCTTTTTAACAAGATCAATCTCTGCTCTTCTCCTAATCTCGGAGAGGGGATAGTCGACCAGCAACTTCCCATCCTCAAACACTGTAACCAATAGGTCCTGGAACATAATCTACGTGTAACACATGTTTTCCACCCCCCCAAAAAAGAGAAAAAAAAACATCGAGAAGGAAGATACGATAAAAGCTTTTTAACCTAAATGAAGCAAAACTGGAAAAATTCAAGTCTTTCAAATATATTTGCAAAATTTCACCTTCAAATCATCTCCAAGGCCTTCTTGGACTGTGACAAATTTTCCATTTTGATCTTTTTGCAATGTTAGTCTACCCTTCTTTGAAGTTTTAGTAACATCGGTTTTTGGACATTTCCAAATGTCTCGCTAAAAACGATTTCTTTAAAACTCAACTTTAGAAGTGTGGAAAACAAGATCAAGAAACGAAATTATTAAATGACCTCTTCTCCGTCTACAATGATGTGGGAACATTTGAAAGCACATTTCTGAGTGTCCCTATTCAGCTTTTGCAAGAGCGCGCCTCCAGTACCAAAAACTAAGTTTTCTGCACTCCATTTATTTTTCTTTAATTCTTCAAGTATCTGAAGTATTTCAATCCGAAAGTCAAACAAACATAAACATATGCCAGAAATGAATTCAGCTTTATTTATAAGTTATGAAGAGCGTAAACAATCCAACTATACCAAAAAATCTCCAACATTATTAAGTGCTGAATATGTAACAGAGTTAGCTTAAATTTTGGCAGAAATAAAGAATAAAGTAAAATAAACCAAATTTTTTTTTATTACTAACCTGCGCGATACTTTCATAGCAAATGCCATCGCCTTGCATAACTCTTAAGTAAGGCGGCAGCACCCGATATCCCTTACTATTCAATTTCGTTTGGAACTTTTCGGCAAGTAGATTCAAAACCTTTAAACCAGCATAGTAATCACCTAAGAAATATAATAAACGAAAGCACAACTCCACTCACAACGAAAATGTTATATAATTAGAAGACCTTTTGAATGTCACAGCTAAATAATCAAAAAGAAAAAAATATTAAACAACCTTCAAAACTACTTTTACAGGGTCGCCACTATCTGGTCTGATAACCAAAGAACCTTTCTTGCTCCTTTCTATAACATACTGTCTTAGCTCTTCCCCCCATATGTTAGAAACCGCATGAAAAAGGTCGTAAGAGTCGCTAACAATAGATACAGGACCAAATGGAAAACTTTTGAATATATTAAGGTAGGCAGCCGATTCCCCAGATTTTTGCCAAGCAGTTATAGTGCTAAAACAATGAAAACACATTAACATAAATTAAAAAGAAAAAAGTGGTACAAATAATGTCTTTATAAACTTTTTTGGTAAATAAGGTAGAAAATAAGGATAAAACCTAAAAAGTGCGAAGACAGTTTGCATTCTAATCTTAAACCGCCTAATCCTATTGCTGATATCTGAAGACCAGAAAAAAGTGAAAAAGGTCCAATATAACAAGCAGCATTACTCGAAAAAACTTATCTGAACTTGTTATCGAATACTACTCATTAAGATAACGAAAGAAAAAAGATAGAATAACCGTTAATACCTATGTTCAGCTGCCGGAATCGAAAACCCAGCCATTGGTTCTGAATAAAACCTATAATCTTGACGTTTAGAAATACTCTTCAAGAATGAAGCAACGCCTGTGTTTAGAAGTTTAAATTAAAAGTATGGCAGAAGGAAATAAATTTAAAAAAACAAACTTCTTGCACAACTTCACACCAGCTATAGTATCAGTACCCGCAAAATTCACCAAATGCGCAGCTCCACCAATAGATGCACTCTAAAAATTAAAATTATAGTTGGAAAGAACCCATCATAAAAATAAGAGACAAGTGAATTACATCAGTAAACTGAACAATCATAGAAACAAGAAAAAACATATTCATCCCACTAAGACAGATCCAGTACGTTTTACTAAGAACAGCCATTAAAGAACCAAATTTTATCCTACTTCAGAGGTAGTATATATGAACAAATGGAGAAATCATTACTTCAACAGAAGACGCACCACGGTAACCAAAATCATGTAACTTAAAAGGTAATTCTTCAATAGTGTCAGAAGTTTCATCTAAATACTGGGCAATAAGCAGCTTCTGAGCACGAGATGTAGTACATACAGTCATTGGGTACCAAACTTGAACAAGCAGTGTCTGAAAAACACGAATCCTTTGAAAAAAGGAATGCAATGTTGTTTTTTTTAAAAATCTTATCTTAACAGGTAAAAGAATCTTTATAAAAAAACATAAATTAGCTGGTGAAAAAGACAATGAGAGAAGTTAGAAAATTCACCTCAAACCACGTGGTAAGCCAAGGAACCTTCGGGTCGGTATTTTCCACTGTAAAAAGAACGTTTCTGACTGGAACTACAGTACCTTCCGGAACAGCTTTTATTTTCAAAGGTAGGCATCCGCCATGGTTCTAAACTTCCAGTAAATATACTTACTCTTCAAAATAAAGTGAGAATACGTATATTAACAAAAAAGCTGAAAGGAAACTCTAAAAGGTAGAAAATGAACAGAAACCCGCGAAAAAACAGCACTATGAGTTCTCATATCTCTAGTAGTGCGAAGTAGAACAGCCATATCATCTCCTTTTCAGCAGACAAAAGAAGAAAATGTGTTGTGACCAAGAACAAAAGATAAACAAAAAACTAAAAAGAAGCCTAAAAGCAAGATCCCCGCACAACTAATTCAGCTACCTCAACAATGTGCATCCAACCATCGTAATTAAATATTTCACGTCCACCAAAATGAGAAAAATAAAAATCTTTTGCTTCTTCAACCATGTTCTTGTTAACTACAGGACCGACAAGCCAACGTTTCAAAAAATACTGAAACAAATGAATATCAAAAATCTAGTAATAAGATAGAGATTAAAGGTAGAAAGCTAAAACATCTATATTGTCACAACTGAAAAGTATCGGCAAAGAGCAAATGAAAAATCAAAAAGTGTTCACCTGTAAACCAAAAAAACAAACTTCCGGAAACTTCCCGCCGCGACTTTCGAAGTATGCATAAATATGAGATGTCCCGACAGGGTACTGTTTGTAATGACTAATCTAAAGAAAATTCCATTCAAATAGACCAAAAATACTGCGAAACGTTTCAGAGATGAATTTAACTGTTAATTAAAATTCTGAATCCAAACTTCTTGCAGTTAATCGATAGGAACACGAAATAACCCAAATAAAACTTTGAAGAACCTTTTTCCATTACTTCTCAAGAAACACCCTTCCTCGTAAAGAATACGACTTTAGAAACCCAGAAGTTTGAAGTAAAGAATTGAAGCGCAAAAAAGATTATCATAAGTATTCACCACTTTAAACTCATGGGGCTAATACTTGCAAAAAAAAAGCCTAACCTTATAAGAATCGGCAAGATATAAAACGTTGTCGACAGAATCGTGGTTAATGTCCATAACTAAACATACCACAAAAGTTAAAAATCGAATAAACCTAAAAAAATATTTCAAACATATATGGTGAAATCCGTACTGGAAAAATGCGACAAAGTTGCTTTTGAAAACAGTTACTGTACAGAAAAGAAGATAAAATATTAAAATTTCAGCTGATAAGGTAGAACTACATAATTCGTTCACAATTTTATTAAAAAAAAAAGAAAAAAAAGCGACAAAGTGGATTCAGAACTGAAGAATCTTGTGATATCGTCCTTCCATTTAGAATACTAAAGTTTAGAGCAAATAAATTTGCGACGACTTAATTCCCCAAACGTACTAAAAACCGGCAATTTCAAAAAGAGATCCTAAAAACTCGTACAAAACACAGCAAAAACATTTATATCAGAACTTTCTAAAAATAACGTCTCATACAACGAAAACATGCAGTTTACAAAAATTATTTACTCCATATTTGTAACATACAAGTAATCAACTGCTACAAGCAAAAACAGTCGTTATCGGTTAAAAGAAAACAAAATTTAAAAAAAACTGAGCGAATAAGAAATGGTAGTCGTTGTAATGAAAACCTAGAAAATTGTGACGAACATGACTATGAATCGTTGTCAAAAAGAAATTGTTCGATCCGTCTGGTCATACAATATCCCAGTCTTAACAGTACAATGCCATACACCTGACAAAATAATACATGCGGATCAAACGAAAGCAAATAGTAAACGGTAAAAAAAAGTAAGACAATGAGGTGTGCCACTCATTATATTACGAGGTCAAAAAAAAAAGAAAGAGAAACAAAGATAAAGCAATGAAAGCAGCAAATAAGATGAAAATCCTTCGAAATATGCATTTATATATAATTCCTTCAATCAACTGATGAAAACATCGCGGAAAAAAGCATTGATTTTGAAAAATGGCAATTCGCCAAATTACTGACTAATTTACCGCTTTCAATCGATACGAACTTTGCAGCGTTCATTTCAATGCACTGCCGTATCTCCGGTCAAAAGAAAAAAAAAAAAAAAGCGTCAAACAACTGGCAGTGCCCAAAAAGTGCCTTTTCGGGGAATGAGTAATATTTCATAAATTAGTGTCAAACGGATGATACTTTTTGTCCAGAAAAACAGCGCCCAACAAATAAAGTCACTTTTTTTGACATAAACGCTTTTCCAAATACTGGAGAGTTTATCGCAAAGGAGAACAAGGAAATGAATCTAGGAGAAGAAAAGAGAGGAGGAGAAATTGAAAGTTGGCAAAACTTGTCTCAGTAAACAAGCTAATCACTTGTAGGCACTTATTTTTGAAACCTCATCCACAGATTGACGAACCAGATTAGACCTGGATGCAGTAGGCTTCTGATCTTTCAATTTTAGATGGAAACATGTCGAATGTGGTGGTCCTACAACAACATCCACACACTCTTCCTACGCCTGCTCCTGAAAACGATTATAACACCCTTTTTTTTTTTCAGCACACATATGTGATGAAATGATGAGAAGATGTAGGCACAGTGAACGAAAGGAAGAGTTTTTACAGGTATTTTCAAGTTTAGAAATTTTGTCGTTTCTTAACCGACAAAATGTTAAAGAAAAAAGTGCCCCGATCATCAATTACCGTAAACTTTCACAGCTGAGCAGACTTAATATTGAAAAAAACTGATTCCTCTGCCTTAATTATTTTGTTCATTAGTTTGCAGCAGCATGGTCCCAACTAATGATCTTTTTCAACGAGGTGTAATCTGCTTCAGCCGTATATGATGCGAAGAGCAGCTTATTATTGAGCAGTTCAACTTTATTGCCTTCTTCCTTTCAATTTACAAGCCTTTTTAAAAAGCTATAACTTAATGTCAGAAGAGTTTTTACGTTCTCAGTTTTCTGGTTTACTGCCTTCTGTATTTCCCTTACTAGGAAATCGTCACACTCTAATCTGCATAGAACCTGCTATCATGAAAATAAACTGTTGTTAATTACCAATTTTTAATGACGAATTAGGTTCAGTTCAAATTGTAATAACTGTAAGAGGTTTTGTTAATAAAAAGTTTGCCCTCTATTCTATTATTTGATCCATTGTTGACATCGATTTTAAAATGTCCTCAGTTATTGATGTAACAGCTAATATATCTATCTATACACTCAAAAAAAAAAAAAAAGTGAATAGGGAAATAAAGAAGTGATTACGCGTATAAAAAACTTTTAAAAAAGCTGAAAAAATGTTGTAAATTTATCAGTTAGTCTGGGTGCTTTATAGTCAGTTATAAATTGAACACATAAGTGACGACATATGGACAATCACAACGAAAAAAATTGTTAATTTCATAGCGGACATTCCGCACATACAGAATGTTCAATTAATGAATCAAATACAATAGCAAAAGTGTTCAAAGTGCGACAACTTTTGTACTCAGTCAAAAGTAAGGTTATTCTCGTTTAACTATGGTTTCCCAGCCAACAATAACTTGAATTTTAATTTGTTGATAGTTAAAGATCAACTAACCTTAGCCTCATTTTGTTAGTTATCCGATATTCTGTAACTGGAAAAAATTTAGCATTGTTGCGCATCCGACAATTCAATTGCTACGAATTTGGTTCGGTAACAGTCACTCTTTATAAGAACCTTTTTGATGTAAACAGTTTTTGAATATTTAGTCCACAGCAATTTTTAACAACTTATAGACCCAGAAAAAAAAAAAAAGATAAAAATGCGAAAAAATTAAAGCTGTTTTTGCAGATTTTTTCAATGCTTTTTACTTAGATGTTTTTCAAACGTTAATCTTTGCCTGTTTTTTTTATCTGCACTGAATACGGCATTTCAGTAAAAATTGGATGCTGTCGAAAGTAGTAATTTGGTTTACCTTCTTCTCAACTATTGCTAACTGCTTTTACACAGATGACACCTACTGACGTGTACAGAAATGGAATAGCTGAATGATGGTTTAATTTGTCGACAATTAGAAAGTTTTTGACTGGTTTTTTTTTTTTTCTTTTGTAAGAAAAGGGGGATTAATCGGCATAAAAAACGCACGAAAAAACATTACAAAAATAAACCGTAAACTGTTGTGTTGCAATCAGTCAAACGAATGAAAAGTGTAAAATTTTTAGTTGTTTTGAATTTTGCTCAAGTATCGACAATAAATATTGGGAGAAAAGAAACTAATTTCTTTTTCCAAATTTTTTTTTTCTATAAAGGACTTTTTTTCTTTTTCAGACTTTAGTGTACATTTCAAGGAACTGTTTTAAGATCATTTAATAAAGTTAAGCAGTAAATGTATAAAATAAAGGTTTTTTTCTTTTAATTTTAAACAGTTGGAACGTTTGATCAATTTCATGTATTAAAAATAACATTTTTATGTCTACCGGACGAAGTATATTGGTTTTTTTTCTCCAGTAATAAATTACGCTATTTATAATGTATGAATTGAAACAGAATTGCTGTTTACTTTGTTGTCATTTTTGTTATTGACGTCATCATAGTTGTTCCGGGTTTCCAACGTTAAAGCGGTATTAAAACTTGAAGTTTTTTTTTGCTGTGTGTAATATCACGTTGTTGAAACGGCTGAAACGCTTTAGCATATACCCTTCTATAAAAACTGTAGGAAACTAAATTATACAGAGAAGAAATAATTTCTTAGGTAGCTTCTTTTTAAGCACAAATTTTAAAGTTACAATTTACCAAAGTTTTAACTATGAATGATGGTTGTAGCAAAAAATTTTCAACCCGTTTTATTTCGTTTCCACTTAACTATCGCTGTTACTTAGTAATAACGTATCGTTGGGTTATAATGCACAGACGGAAAGAAACCTTCAGATATTTGTATCCCATTGGCTTGACTCATAGCAATTTTCAAACTTCAAAAACGGAATCGATAGCCACCAACGAAGTTGGCAAAAAAAACTTTGCGTAAATTTTTTAAATAACAAAACAACAATTTACAAATATTACACAAAAAAAAGTGAATAGATCTTTGAAACTTGTTAGGTTTTACAAAAAAAAAAAAAAAAAAAAAAAAAAAAAAA